TGAAAAACTGCAAAAATCAAAACTTGCATCATAAAACAATAAGTAAAAGTGATTTAAATATTATCAAATATTTTGTTCAATGCTAAGTGGAAAGGGACTATATGAAGGGAAAATAATTGCTCAAAAGTTGAAAATCTAATTTGATTATTTGCTAATCGCAGACACGACAATTGAGAAAATGCAATAAAACATTTGTATAACACTGAACCTTACAATAAGACGGTACGTAGAAGAAATGAGTCTCTAAAGTAGTCCCTTTTAAGCATACAAATCATAAATAGTCAATTAAATAGGGTACAAATTATAAGGTTTCAATTTTTATGAGGAAACCTAATATCTAAGAATTTTTCAAGTGAATTTTGAATTCAAGATGAAGTTAAAATAATTGGCTCAGCAAACAGATAAAATAGAACTCAATAATGTTATAATTCTTTAGGTAAAACAAAACCGTACTAGAATTGCACAATATTTTCGAGCATTATATGGGGATGTCAATCTTTGCAAGCATAATCCTCGAGATCTGATAGAAAAGTAGTCGGATAATGGAGTAAATTCGTTGTAGGTTTTCACCCCAAGAGGGCAAAAGTATTGAAATGGAAGCCGATCAAGTCAAGCAGTCGGAGATGTCTACTGAAAGGCCAGCGGAGCTGACAAACTTATTTATTGTAGGGATGAACTTGTTGGAGTTGATGAACTTGTTGAGGTAAGAAGGGAAAACCTCTAAAGGAAGCAAAACCAGAACTGCCTAATTCATAGCTTTAAGAACTAATACTTTTTTTTCTACAACTACATGATGGACCACGGTTGGAAACCACCAAAACAAATACCCCAAACCACTTTTATGTAAAACATAGTTTCAATCCGCCGGTTGAAATACCACATCCCCAACTCATAATATCAAACTCACAACTCTGCAATCTACCGTGACAACCATTCGAAACTATCACAAAGAAAACCGACAAATGCACATAGAAAAACTTTACAAGGATACAAAAAGGTGATGCTCATTATGTTCCTTGGACCAGCCACATAAAAATTAATTGTATAAGACAGCAATGGTTGGTTATTGTTTAGTGAAACAAGTCATATGATTGGTTTATGATTTTTTACAGGGAACTTTGTCAGAATAGTCACTAAAACTATAAAGTTACTTGCATTCGTACAGCAAGACACCAATTGTTCATGAAAACATAGCACACCAATTACTACTACATTCTTATTACAATGTAAAAGTGGTATTTATTAGAATCTCACATTATTTGGGAAAATATAAACGATCCACTTAATAAGGTGAGGGCAATCCTCCCCTAATAAGCCGGTTTTATTAAGTGGAGTTAAGCCCAATATTCCTAACATGGTATCAGAGCTAGACCCAATTATACAATGTTGGGTGTCACCCAATATCGATTTGTTCACAGTTGTTTGGCATGGTCCACGCGGTGCGTGAGGGGGCGTATTAGAATCCCACATTGTTTGGGAAAATATAAACGATCAACTTAATAAGGTGAGGGACATCCTCCCCTAATAAGCCGGTTTTATTAGGTGGAGTTAGCCCAATATTCCTAACAGTATTATCTTTGCTTGTAAGATTGTATATGTATATTTCTAATCAGATATGAAGATGCACATGTTCAATCATTTGACGAAACTAATATTTTAATATGTTTACTTGAATGTTAAGATACACGTGTTTAGATATTTAACGACACTAATATGTATGTTAGATGACACACACAAGTAAATACTAAACGGTTGTTTCCCTTTTACTTTTAATACAATTAGGGAGAAAATATACAAGCCCTTGTATTCAACTCTCAAAAGTATTACAAGTAACCTCAAGCTATCTTTGAATGCTCTTTCTCACTTAAATTGATTACAAAGGCTTCTATGACCTATTTATGCTTCTAACTCATTTGAATAAACGTCGGGTAAGATTCATTTTCTAGCATTCTCTACAACATTTGTACATGGGAACGCTCTAGCACGGTTGTACTACAATCTTCCGAATATGTTAGACAAGTTTCTGTACTTTTTCTTGCACAGAACTTTCTTGATACACAAACCTCTCTCATTACTCTTCATTGTTCTAGAATGCTCCACCAAGGCCTTCCTAGCTAGGAACTCTGTAAAACGGGATATTCTTACACCACTCTACAACATTCTATGAGTTATTCTAGAACTGTTCCATATTTCTGTAAATTTTTACCAAATACTCAACCTATCGCACAATCTTAGCATCTGGCTTTGTGTGGTCCATCGCACTACAAATTCATCTTTTGGCCAGTGCCTTTGGATGCTAGCCTTAAATTTTCACTATAGTATCTAGCTTTTGGCCTCACTACCTCCGGTTATCTCATCACTTAGCTTACAGATACTCACCTCGCTGCACTCTTTTCGCATTATTGGGTGCAAATTTTGACTGCTACCTTAATTTTTCCCCACCTTATGGAGATGGAATTTTGCAAAATAAAGCACCAACATATTTATACGTTTTGGTTAATGAGGCGATGCTACTCTCTCTCTCTCTCTCTCTCTCTCGGAAAATATAAGATAAACCTCGAGGAATAGAATACCAAAAAAATCATAAGAAATTTAGTAATCCTCACTCTCGAAGTGAATACATAGAAGAGAATGTTCAATTTGAAATACCTTGATTTTTTTCCTTGCATTTATAGTAACAAAAGATTAGCGTTTATTTGATCTTATTTCGTACATATGTGGAATGGAACAGGTAAATTTTTGGAACTCCATTCACAATAGTAGTAAGTTTAGTAGTATACATTCCTGCAGGAAATATCTTCATTTTCTTTTTATCATTTTAGAACTCATCAAAACAATGTTTACAATGAATGATTGTAGGTTCACAGGGAATTAGTGACTTTCTCCGAACCTCTGGGAGAAGCATGAGAAAAAAAATGGCTCGAATGCTACGATCCCTCCATCATCCCAGAATGAAAAGAGTAATCTCTTAGTTCTTGATCCTTGAAGATGCGTTGTCGAGTGCTCCATTTTCTTTTCCATTGAGGTTGAGTAATGAAGCCTTCGAAACATCAAATTTGCTTTTAGCGTTGGAGTTCTTCACATGTTCCAGAAAAAAAACATGTATATGGCATCCAATTATACATACATTTCTCAACTTGATCACTTCCGATTGTACGTATACAATTACAGTAAGTGGCACATTGACAGATTTGAAATTCTTGATGTAGCTTAACCTTAGCCTAATTAATATTTTTTCCTTTTAAAATTTGTATTACTCGTTTCCATGTTGTGCTTGTTATGTATTTAACGCCCTTCATTTGCTTGATCACCAAATGTTGGCATAGTGATCTCCAAGAGGTTATTAGATATTTTAGAGCCGATAGCAAAAACCATAGGTCGGAGGAGATAAAGATATATTCGTAAACCTAGATGATCCTTTGAGCTATTCTCACAAAAATTAACACGATTGATTGTGTTATTAATTGACAAGGACATATAGTAGGTTAATACACTGACTTTGGGCTAGTTGATGAGCGAGATAGATAATTAGTTATATTAGGAGAATCGAGTCTATCACTAGAAAGTGGATAGTACGTCCAATTTCTTTTTTTGAAATTAATTGGACGACGGTTAAGTGAAATCATAAATCCAAGCACATTTTCAATTAGGGTTCTCCATTATTTTACTTTTACCTGCTTTCATCGTTTCTAATTGCTTTTCATTTATTTAGTTTGTTAAAAGAATCAAACCAATTTGTGTGTGTTATCTTACAATTTAATGAAACTAGAATTGAACCACGTCTAAAGCATATATAGCCCAATCCTTGTAATATCGACACTCTTCATCACTTTATTACTTATACACAATTTGTGCCCCTGTAGTATTGCGATGCAGCAGTGAATGCTTTCACATTCCCTGGTGTTTGTTTCGATATTGCTAGGCAAAGCTCTTCGTTGCCTTTCCAGAGTCTCCACAATCATCCTTGCCAATTAACCCCACTTCGGTATCAAGATTTTTCATTGAAGCTGCTCGATTTTGAACGTTTGTCTCGGTCTTGTTCATGAATTGCTTAAACATATCTTCCGTAGATGGCTTCGTTTCTTGTAGCAGTTGAAGTCGTTGAAAACCCGGTGGCTTCCCTTTGTTTTGAGTGTTGGCCAAAGAAAAATAAGGAATTTTTCCAACCCGCATTTTATGTGCTGGAGTAGGGATTGTCTTGTTGATGGTTGAAGTTTTGAGCATAATTGCTCACTTGATGATGAAGCCGTCTAGAGTACTTGGAAATCCCCAACACTCTGCCCATCTCCATACACTCCACACTTGGGCATGGGAGCGTAAAGTCGCACTGACCACTCATCTCATTTTATCCATGATAACCGAGAAAGCCGAATATGCATCCATCTCAAATCCTCACGGCTTTCTTTGGTGGTATCTGGTTGGTTGGCCAGGTCGAGTTATGACTTTCCACACTCTTAAATATTTGAGTCAAAATCAACAATTAATTTCAACAACATATTTCATATGACCTACAACTCTTCAATCGCACATTTCATCAACTGTCAAAATCTACTAAAAATCTGATTTTTATTCCTACCAAACAAAGGCTAATTTAAAATACCATTTTCATGCCCTTTGAAGCACAATATGTCCAAGTACATTTCCTGTTATCTAGAGATGAGAAATGTGCAACATTTCTCAAAAAGATACCTTCACAACTTGTTAAAACAAATTAAATTTTGCCTATTACAGTGTTGAGTCATGTCTAATACTACGTATCATTTTCATCTTTTCAGTTCGAGCATGGCCATGAAAATAAATGACAATACCATTGAAATAGGATAAAATGTCCTAAATAATGTAAACGATGGTGGTATAATGAAAGAAATTGAGAAACCAAACAATATGCCACGATTAAGACCATTACATAGAGAGCAATTACACAAGCTTCTTTGATCAAACACGAAACAAGGCACTTGAAATTTCATTAACCGGTAAACAAAAGCAAAGGAAAGAAAAATTTAGCAACAACTGCTGGTAGATGCATCAGATTCCAGAGGTTTCTGTTTGAAGATGTTCTTCTTGACGCCACTAGAGCCTTCAGCCAAGAGACTTGGCGTTTCCAAAATCTGATTAAGAGATATAATATTGAAACAAGAGAAACAGAGAAGTGCTAAAATAACTAGAACATGGTTTGACTAAGCTTAAAAGAAAGTAAAGCGACTTTTAACTAACTTTTTTTCTCAAAATTTTTTGAATAACTTACTGTGACCCTGCTTGTTTCTGATTCTCAAATCAATTCTCATTTTTAACCACACATTCTTCAATAAAATAATATTTTCCATCACATCAATACTTTTTTCTTCCTTTTCAACCACACATTTCCCATCATATCACTATTCAAAATCAATTCTTCCCCCAAAAATCCCTACCAAACAGGCTCTGTATTTTCTTATTTTTAAAGTAAAAAAGTTAACTTTTTTTTTTAAAGAAACTCTAACTGTGAAATTAAGTTACTTATTTCCAACTTTCATCAATAAAAGACATTTATTTCAAAACAAACTTATTTACTTATCAGTAAATTCACTTGTACACAAACTTTTTATACTTGGCCCAACATGTTCCTCTTCATCATTTGTGGTATCGGCGATGCGGTTTGATGCCAACATTATCCTTTGATACCGGTAACACAAGCACAACTAACTCGATTCAAAAAGTTTTATTCAAGATTTAACTTAGCCAACATCTGCAAGATAACAACTTGAATGTAAAAAAGCTAAAACTATATCATGATGCAGATTCACGTTCACATCTAAGACTTCATTTTATCAGTTGCACTTGCATCTAGTTGTTATTAATATTTCAGTAAAAGGATCATCAAAATAAGGTTCAACGCTAAAATTTCTATCACAATTTACAAGACAATATGCAATAAAAAGCTCTTCATCTTGGTAAATTGTTGCAATGGTATTTCTAAATAATTATCTGCGAAAATAACCTGTCTATGTTCCTACTTAGCAAGTCCTGAACCTAGATGACGAATAAATGTTGTGCCACGTTAACAACTAGTGTAACATTTGCTCACATCTATGATTTTATCTTGTTTGAAACATTTTGTTGATGTGTCCTTTCTTAACGACAAACTATACTGTACCAAAAACCAGTGAAGCTTGGAAATAGTTAGCTAAGGCCTATCCTACAAGTGATGTGGCACTTTGCTGCCCACACTGTGTTAAGATAAAAGGTTTCCCGCTGTAATGGACGAAGGTAGGTAAAGAAATTAGCCTAAGATCATAAATTAGTGTAAAGAATTATATATAGGGACATTTACTGGATAATCCTTTACAGTAGTAGGTTTATGCTTAGGGATGTTCATGTAGCACAAGATAAAGAAAAAAATTGGGGAACATAGGATACACACTACCATAATATACCAGCACAAAATTAGTTGAAATGGGTCCACAATATTGAGTCGCAGATTAAATGACAAGGCCCAAAAAGTTAAATAGGTTGGGTATATGATTAGACTTCATTTAGGAGAAAAGCACAACAATTTTAGTGCCTATGCTTCGCAAACAGGATTAGATAATGCAACAAGCAATGGTTTTGGAGACGAGGATGAAGTGACAACCCCTAGCTAAGATACTATCTTCATTCATGGGGAATTGAATGTTCATATGCAGAAAGGTAAATCGAATTAAAAATGATAATAATAATAATAATTATTATAAAATTTTGGCTTCAGAGTTCTGTATAGAAGTAATCCTCTTTTATACTTCAAGATGGTTTATGATTTTGGAGTGAGCGGACACGTGCTTCACAGACCTCTGGGATAAACAATATGAAATTTGAAGTCTTGCTACGAGTGTAATGGTAATTGTTGCATCCTGATATGTGCAATATCGCGAGGGGTTGAAGCCAAGAAAGCATGTAACATCTGAGCCAGAGTACTTTACATTGCTATGTATTGAATTAGTTTCCTATATATAACATAAGTATATTGGTCTTGATAAACTCTTTTCTACATAGGTGTTTCAATTATTCCTTAAGCTATGGGATCACGTGTTTTTAGCAGGCTCGTGTTCATTTTTCTCGGACAATGTTAATGATGGTGCCGAAAATTATAGCATCGATTTTCAAGTGATATCTGCCCCTATTAATGCACTAATAGTGGCATCTTGTAGTATTGTGGGTATCATGTATTAAAGGTTAAGGTTCTAGAAGACATAAAGTGTAACAAAATGTGGAGGTTAAAGAACAAGCTGACGAATCTAAGCGGTTGAATTTTTTCGTTCATATCATTCGTTTTCCTTAAGCACATTTTATTAGTTTTATTTTATTTTTTTTCCTTTTTTAGAAGTCTTTTAATTTACTTTAACTTATTATTATTATTATTATTATTATTATAAAAAACTTGTCATTTTACTTTGATTTTAAGTTTTTAAAAGATTTTATCTGTACGGAAGTTAAAAATGACTTTATCTAAACAATTTTAGTGCCTATGCTTCGCAATCAGGATTAGAAAATGCAACAAGCAATGGTTTTGGAGACGAGGATGAAGTGACAACCCCTAGCTAAGATACTATCTTCATTCATGGGGAATTGAATGTTCATATGCAGAAAGGTAAATCGAATTGAAAATGATAATAATAATAATAATAATTATAAAATTTTGGCTTCAGAGTTCTGTATAGAAGTAATCCTCTTTTATACTTCAAGATGGTTTATGATTTTGGAGTGAGCGGACACGTGCTTCACAAACAAAGACCACTTTGTATTGTCTTTTGAAAATGGATAAAAGTTCAGTCAATCTTTTACCCTTAGTTTATCCTGTAGTCGAAAGGCAAAGTTCATCATGCAATGATTACTAGGTGCTGAGATCCTAACTACATAGCATAGGTTACTGGTGATCTGGGAAGCACGGACGCGCTATCGACAACACCCGTACATCTCTGACACGTCGCCGACATGTGACAGAGTTCCTTGCGGCATGTCGGAGATGAAATGTAGATGGTTGAAAGAAGAAATGCAGGCTGTGAAGAAGATGGGGACTGATTGTGAAGAAGAAGAAGACTGAGGAAGAAGAAAGAAGAAAGTGAAAAGACGTGATGACTGGAAATGAAAAGTTGTGGATGTAAACCAATGTACTTTTCATTGTTGGCTCCAATAACATTTAAGGTGATCATTTCATGGCTATTGAAAACGAATTGAATCAGATGGATCTATTTCTCAATCTTTCTGACTTGCTCCTACGGAACCAAGGTCAGACTAGCATTTTTACAAGAAATCTCTAGCCAACCTTCCTGCAAAAGATCTTTTCTTAACATCAAGAGTGTTGGGACTAGATAGAAATGAGAACTCCAATGAATGAATACTATGATTTGCATTTCGAACAGGCATGAATACAGTATAATGCATTTTGTAAAATTTCTTTTTGTAGCATATATTTAATTTACTTTTTTTCCAGCTTTATTCTTTAATAAAGCAACATGTAAAATTTTGTGTTAATTAATTTTTTTACCATTTTACCCTCCATTAGAAAAATAAACTTACTTATATATATGATGCAATAAATATAAAAAAAATATTACTTTAGACTATAAAATTAAAATAAGTTAAAAATAATATATTAATCAACATGTTGACGACGTATATCGTTTCCGTGTCGGTGCTTCTTAGCTGGTGATTAATGCATAGTTATCGAACTCTTCTAGATGTTTACCTGACCAAGGCGCATGTTTCTCTTTCAACTATTGGGTCACTCATTAGACCACATTTCTAAATAAAATTTAAAAAAAAAAAAAAACATGATTTCCATGATATAAATTAAGCACAAGTTAACAATGCATTGCATAAAAAAACAACATGCACATCTGCATAACGTTGATTCCCTGATCACACTCATTGCATCTACAATATGGTATTATTTATGCAGAGCTCATGAAAGGTTATTACTTAGAACACTTGCTGGCATCGGCTAAACGGTATATCATTCATGTAGAGATCGTTAAAGATTATTACTTAAGAACACTCGCCCATCAGCAATCACAAGTCGGGAACCCAAAATCAAAGATAAATGCTCCAACTAATATGGTGTCAGTAGACAGGTTAGACTGGGCCGTACCAACTCCCAAAGGCCAAATAAATCACTGTGTGCAAGATGCAGAATGGTGCAAGAAACTAAACTAATAAAAGCGGGCAAACAGCCCACCCAAAGCATGGATGTAGGTAGATTCATAACCAAGGATAGACAAAAGATCTATGAGGGTGGAAGAAAAATCATATGAAAAATGTACTGTTACCATACTCACCTTCAAAACGAGTTCCTCGAAACATTGTTCGACATTGACCCGAGTTTTGGCACTGCATTCAATAAAGAGGCACCCATACTCCCTTGCAAAGTCAATTCCCTCTTTTTTGCTAACAGTTCGTTCACTATCCTGAAAAAGTATTCTAGATGTGATGGTAATTTGGGACATTTGATTCACAACTGTAATGCGACAAACACAGAAGAAAGAACCTCGCTGAAAGGGAAAAAAGAGGAAACATAACATGGGATCTTATTATCTAGTAAAATCTAGATAATGCCACTAAAAGATACCTTATCAAATTTGTTTCCTACGAGCATCTTGATACAATCTTGATTTGTTGAGTAGAGATCAATTTCTTTAGCCCATATATCAGAGAGATTAGTGAATGTTTCTCGCCGTGTCACATCATATACTGTTTCTTAATAAATGGTTAGGTAAGCAAACGTACAAAGGCTTTTGACTTATGTGAAGAGAACCATACCGGCAGCAAGAGAATCCAACTAAATCACTTGAAAACAGAAATCAGGTAAAATAGATCACGTGATACATTGAAAATTTATATGCTGTAGTATAATGTGAAATTAAAGTTGCACAATGCAACATATGAAATTGCACTAAATAAAGCAACAGTTACGCATACAACTGAATATCAGGCTGAAAAAATACAGGAAATATCCAAGACAACAAACTTGCAAGTGATTCTAGTGAAACCAGTTAAAAGTGAAAATTGGGTTGAATAGATTTGATATGATGTTTCAGAGTTGTGCGTGTCATTAACATCTCAAAATGCAAGATTAAGCCATGTAACTGACAGACACAACTAGATATCTATCAATCTAAATAATATAAGCCAGAAGCTTGGTTTGGGGGGAGAGGGAGAGTGGGGCTGGTGGTGGGGGTGGAGATGGGAACCCAAAGAGAATGAACTTCTATTTACACATCATGGGGAAAGACTATGAACTGGTGGTGATTACAGACGAACAAAAACAAATATTCTAATATAATAATCTCTGCCACGTCAATTATACAGCCATTTCAGGTTCTCACACAAATTTTCTTGTACTTGCACTACATCCCTACTTTCATGATGCACTCTCAGCCATGACCGACTGAGTAGAACCAATATATTCCGTTAGCCAAAATTACTTTATTTAACTTAGATCCTCCAATCGTAATATCATAAGAGATTCTTTTTTCATTCAGCAGACTGGAGTGGATGACTCTTATCTGCTATTGTAGATACAAATTTTTAAAGAAAATTCTATTGGAAGTACTTTAGGTCACAGACAGGAAAAAAACAGTGGATAGAAGGAAATACCAAATGGAAAGAACATACCCATAATGATTCCTTGAGCTCCTCTGTAATAAGAACTGGTCAAAGTCCTGAATCTTTCCTGTCCAGCTGCAAAATGAGAAATTAGATTGAGCAAACCATCTCAGATATGTAGCCCATAAAGCAAACTTCTAGGTTTCTAGAATACACCATTCATATAAAACTGAAAAGACATGGGGAAAAGGAAATTTTCTATAAAAACATATGTAAGTAAGCCAATATTAAACTAGAAAGCAATACAAGGTAACCGATTCCATTGAAGTCAAATTCAGAGAAAAAGAAACAAAAAGGGACAGAGAAAGCAATGCAAAAGCTGCTCCTTCAATATTGGTATACACTATCATTTTTGCATCAATGTGCAAAGAGAAAAAGATAGCAGACCGTTTTGGAAGAAGAAATTTGCAGGAACTCAAAACTCTAGGAAGATAAAAAATATATACACAACAAATCCTAGTAAGATACACAGTTTAATATTCATTTTTCTCAAATACATCATGCCATAACATTATATTTACCAGTATCCCAAATTGCAAGCTTCAATTTTTTCCCTCCAACAGTAACATGCTTTACCTTGAAATCTACTCCTGTTGACAGCAGACACAGAAAATTATGAGGGCAGACATAAGACATCTTAAAAATAATTGAAGGGATAATAATTATCAACAAGAACACATTACGACGATAATCTGCACACAACTGTTTCATGATTATATGCATTTTTCAAAAGTACGGAAATACGTATAAACATACAAGGATTTATATCAAAAGATTCGACAAAGTTTTATGTTGGTTATCAACTTATACAACCCTCCTTTAACTATGCTTGAGGATTAGTCCAACTCAAATACAAATACAGATACAACTATAAGAAGAATTTCGCATAAAATTTTATCCCCCTACTTATGTAATACTAGAGGAAGGCTAGCCTGTCCCCTCCGGTCCTCCTTGTTGTATTTGATTTATCTTGATAGATACGCCAACCCCCCATTTACGCAATGGTGGATTTCAGTTTAAGAAAAACAGTTAATTGAATTTTCGATTTTTTGAATGAAAAGCCAACCAATCTATACGGCTAATGCATCACCCTGGAAATCAACCTGAAAGTGTCACCAAGTAAACAACATTCCTAGACTACTTAGATGAACCATATGGTCATAATACTATGCTACAACATTGAAGAGTCTTCTCTCAGATCACCAATACCCCAAAAACTGGCAGTTAGCTTCAATTTCAGTTAAACTGCCCAATTAATTTGAAACTGAAGAACCTATAGAAAACCCATATGTTAGTTCACAATTAGCCTCGATGGCAGATCTAGCATCTAGCTAGAATCCATCAAGGGTGACCTTCACGTCTCTAGTCCACTAATGTAACACAAAGGCAGGTAATGTTAAGACAGATTGACTAGTTGACTTTGTGTTAATGGTTGGAGCTCAACTTCAACCAAGACCAGATAAAATGAGATTCAAATCAACACAATAATGGATCAATTCAGCTGGGAATCAATAAACTAAGCTGGAAATCTATTAAATGAATTGAAAATTACACAGAAATAACAAAGAATAACAGAAAACAGAGAAACGGCAGAATCAGAGGAGGAAGAAGAGAAGAAGAGAAGCAGATTCAGAAAGAGAGAGTTGAGATATGAAGAGAGAGATTCAGACAGAATACAGAAAAGGGGGGAAATTCTGGTGCAAGCTAACGAGTTTCCAAATCTGTTTTTCATCCTCCCTATGTGATAATTTTATATAGTCACAGAACGTTCTAGAATGTAGAGTCATGACACTGTGTAAGGGATTACTTGCCTGTTTCTGGGGTGCATTTTACTTTGGTTTTGATCTGGTTGGCATATTTCTAAAATATTTTACTTCCTCTGGATATGTTAATAATTTCTCAAGTTGCTATCAGGATCCTACTCAGAAATTTGTTCCAAGTATTTGCCAACATATTCAAAATTTTACACATTTATTCTCAACGATTCAAATAGCATAGATAAACATGCAAACCTTCTTTTTCCTTCCAATAATATGCAATTGTATACAAAATTAAGGGAGAGAATAATAGATTTACCTATTGTAGGAGAGAGATCCTCGAAAGTATCAGAAGTGAAACTGAGCAAGAGGCTACTTTTCCCGACACCAGAATCTCCAATCAACAACAGCTTAAACAAGTAATCGAATTCCGGAGGCGATGATAATGATGATGACGATGATTCCATATTTTTTTCAATTTTCAAATCCCTACAATAATCAAAATTTCCAATAAATTCATACATAATTCAAAAACCCCCATAAAACAAATTATAATAAAACTAGAAAAACCAATAGAGAAAAAACAGAGGACCCACGATTGAATTCAGTGAATGGCTAAGAACAAGATATAGCAGATCTACAGTCTACACTTTCAGATGTTAATAAGTGTATCAAAATATTCTGCAAAATGTATATTTCGTTACTGATTATACGTATAAATCGATCATTTATTGAAGGTTAAGAGGACGAATATGAAGTAAAGGGAAATGAGAACACAAAACAGAATTTCTTCCTCGCGGTGGCAATGGCAGAAGGAAAAAGATACCAATTACGCTGCAGGTACAGGAAATTTTGACCGAATTGGTACAGTAAAATTTCTTACGTGGCAATGGAAACCGACTTTCTCCAAAATCTCACAAAACCAATCCAAAACCGGTTTTGACCAACCCATTCATTGTTGCCCCCAAAATCTCTCAACCCTCTGCCTCTCTTCGCGATTTTCAGTTCCTGGTGCCCACGCCCACGCCCGTTGCAAATCCGGCAATCAATTCGTCGGATCTCCTCCCCCCAACATCCGACCGAAGTCAGTCCTCCATCTCCGGCAGTGACGGCGACGGAAGCCCACCGAAAGCCAACCTATTTTCCCGTCTTTGCAGATGACGGACGAAGGTAAGA